CTGAGCTCTTCAGAAGCTCAGCTGGGTGGTAATTGTGGGCTTAACTCCGAACGGACTAACAACGGTGAGCGTCTGCTGCAACTGTGTGCGGAGCACCAGTTGTTTCTTACTAGCACTGCTTTTAGACACAATAAGCGCCGAAGTGCCACCTGGTGTCCTCCTGTAGCTGAGCAGCGATGGACCCAAATTGATCGCATTGCCATAAGTTACAGATGGCGTGGTTCCATCCTGGATTGCCGCTCGTACTGGAGTACCTGTGTCGACTCTGATCATGCCTTGGTACGTTGTCGTTTCTGCATGAACTTTACCGGGAGGCGCACCAAGCGTCCCCTACGATTGGCAACGGAAAAATTGTCTCAGTCCTCGGTCAGGCAAGCCTATCAAGACGCACTGCATACTGTACTTCTGCAGTCTTGTCCTAATGACACTGATCTTCAGTGGAATACGATCTCGGCTGCCTTGCACGACGCAGGTGCATCTGCTTGTGGCACTGTCAGTCGTTACCGCACCAGTCACTGGATATCCGAGAGGCCCGTGAACCTGTTGGAATCTAGAAGACACCTCCCGGCTGTCTCTGAACACAATATGACCAGACGGGCTATTAGGCGTGAACTAAAGCAGAGCATACGTGCTGACAAGGAAGCCTGGTGGACCAGTGGGGCTCAAGAAATGGAGGAGGCAGGGGCAGTAGGCAATTACCGCAAGCTCTTCCAGCTTATCCGCTCCACTGGTCCCAGAAAACAAAGCGTCAGTGAGGCAATCAGAGACTGCGCAGGTGCGCTGATACACAATAAGGAGCGCCGTATGGCTCGTTGGGCGGAACACTTTCAAGATCAGTTCGGCTGGCCTCCTGCTCCCGGACCTCTTCCTACTCAGGTGATGCAGGACGAGCTATGGACGGTTAGTTTAGAGCCTCCGTCGAAGGCTGAGGTCCGAAACGCGAGAACAGCCCTCAATCGTTTTCGTGCCGCTGGCCCGGATTCTTTCCCACCTGCACTATTTAAGGATGGAGGTGAGGTCCTCTGCAAACCACTGACCTCCTTATTCGAATGTATCTGGAAGGAAGAAAGCGTCCCGGCTAATTGGAGCGAATCGATTATAGTGGCAATATACAAGAACGGCAGTTGCACAGACTGTTCTAACAACAGGGATATTAGCCTAACGCCAATTGTGACAAAATTATTGGTCTCGATTATCGTTCGTCGCCTCCCTGCGGAACGGCAATCTCAGATTAAGGAAGAGCAGGCTGTATTCCGCGCAGGAAGTGGCTGTATAGACCATATATTCACTTTGCAGCAGGTGCCAGAGCAGCGCCACGCATACCGCAGACTGACAATAGCTGTGTTCCTCGATTTCAAGAGTGCGTTCGATTCAGTCGATCGACGCATTCTGTTCGAAATACTTGCGTGAAATGCGTTCCCACGAAATATGTGAACATCCTTCGTGCTCTATACTCGAACACTACAGGCCGCGTCAGGGTCTATGGTGTCCTATCGGATAGTTTTACGACCACAAGTGGTGTTCGTCAGGGTTGTCCGATTTCCGCGTTTTTGTTCAATTTCGTCGTGGATTCTATCATGGAGTGTTCCATGACGCAATCCAATGATGTAGGTGTTGAATTGGTGCCTGGTGTAAGGCTAGTTGACCTAGATTATGCGGACGATATCGTCTTGCTTTTCGACAATGTTGAGGCGGCACAATCAACCCTGAATAGCCTGTCCAGAGTGGTCCCATTATTTGGTATGCACTTCGCACCTTCAAAGTGCAAAGTGTTGCTGCAGGACCACCAGCCACTTGATGACCTCTTGACGCTTGCTAACGAGGAACTCGAAGTGGTTGATCATTTCACTTATCTTAGCAGCTGCATCAGCAATGATGGGCGCATAGAAACTGACGTGAGCTCACGCATTGCAAAAGCCAGAGCTACCTTCTTGAACCTGCGACATCTTTGGCTACAGAAGGGAGTTTTCCTTCGTCTAAAAGACCGGGTATATAAGGCTACGGTGAGGGCCGTTCCGCTGTATGGTAGTGAAACGTGGCCCCATCGGTCTGTAGAGCTGATGCGCCTTCAAGTTTTTGATCATCGTTGTTTGCGAAGCATTTCTGGTGTCGGATGGCACTAGCGTGTCCGACACGATGATGTGCGTAGGCGAGTACTAGGAAGTGATAATCATACTAGCTCCCTAGAACAACAGATAGCACTGAATAAGTTGCGTTGGCTCGGGCACGTGCTACGTATGCCTGGTCACCGCTTACCTAGGAGGGCCTTGTTTAGTCTGCCAGGTGTAGGGTGGCGCAAGGCTCGCGGTGAACAGAAGTTGACTTGGCAACGGGAAATGTAGACTCTGACGACCAAACTGGGTACCGTTGGTCCGTCTCGTCTTCCGGGATGGGGTCCAAGTGACTCGCCTTGTGCTTGGCTCGAGACTTTACAGTACATGGCTCGCAACCGACACCAGTGGCGCGTCTGTTGCCGTCTTCTTATCGGATTGTCTGTTTAAATTGTGTTTGGTGCTGAGTTATCTGCGGGGTAATGGCTGATTATGACGTGTGGCAGTGAAAGCCGAAAGGAAGCTGTCTCGCTAATGTTGCCTTATCTTTGCACGATAGCCAGCTGTTTGTGACGGAATGTTGTCTACACAAGGTGTAGGCGGCTTGACCCTGAATGTTTGCTTAGGGTATTAAGGTTTTCAGGTAAGTCCCCCTTCTCCCCTTCTTCTTACTCGTTATTTCATGGGTCCTCATGTTTGTATGGCTACGAAGCATCAGTTCAAATGGCTGATGTACTGCTGTTGCTGCTGCTGCTGATGATGATGATCTGTGCCAACAACGGAAATAGTGTGATAGTTAGTAATTATTATCCTCGATGTTAGGTATGAATGCTACATATTTCTCTCATCAATGAAGAGAGAATAAAGTTTAACTGGGTTAAAAAGAAGTGAAACACATTTCCTCCGCATAATCCACGTCATAGAGTAATAAGAGCTTCAAATATCGCGGATGAAAACCAGGTTTTTCAGCTATGCCGGAAGGATTTAAAAATTTCGAATGTTAATAATAGACCTCCAAAGCCCGGTGCTTCTAGAGCGGGTCTTTTATTAGGCACTGGCGCAGCCGCTCACCTGGGCTCACGCGCTTTCCTTTTTGGCCACTCATTACTCAACCAGACAGGTTAAAAGGGCAAATATTAACCAAAAGTCTTACGAAGAGTGTTGCATGTGGTACAGCGCTGATGTGAGAGACTACGCCTTGCTTTCGATAGATGGCTTCTTTCACAGCTTTTCGTGGCTTCTTGAAGTTAAAGGTCAAATAATGCGACAAGAGTTTGGTAAGTATATTTCTTTAACTTCCTGATTTATCCTTTGTATTTATTTCATTGCGAACAGCTAAGCTGATAGACTTGTATAAATGCCAAGCTAGTTATTTCAATGCCGCTAAGTAGTACCTATCATTTTGTTCAAAATCACTGGCGTTAAATTATATAACCAGATAACTTTTACATGCATTACCGACTCGATTTCATCTATAGTAAGCTCAAATAACAGTTGATAAATGCAGTGGTGCGTTCTCAACGAAAATCAGCGCCTCATGGAGCTATCATCCAACTGTTGAAGCAATGAATTAACACTCACCAATAATTGCAGGCCAGTGCGACCACGACTATGCTCCACACGAGTAACAGCTTGCTGCGATTCAGGATACGCATATGTTATGTAATAGAAACATGTACAGTAAATGCAACGATTCGATCCCAATATTTTGTCCATCCTTGGTGCCGTGATTCCAACCTGTTTGATAATTACTTCTACAGTACGCCGTCAGCTAAACTGTTACAGATTTTTCCGCATCACGTAGTCGATCAGTTACAGATGCGTTTTGATAACAACTGCGCTTTTACTAAGTTCTTTTACTTGTTTTCGCCGTCGGTGTTTCCTACCACTCTAATTAACACGTAACTGAGCTTTTATTTGCAACTTTGATGCACATAACTCTTTGGTGGCGTATGCGCGCTATTTTATTTGCCACTTACGGTTTCACCGCTTCATCTTGTCGTGCCATCTGCACAATCAGGGAAAACGAGATAATGTATTACATTATTGCCTTTGCTTAGTTGGATGAAGTAAGTTTTGGCCCAGCCTGAACAACTGATCTTTCCACAATATACACAGTGGTCCAGTGTCGGTTGCCAAAATGTACTTGCTGTGGACGCTACTCAATGTTAAACGATGAAAAAATGTTTAACTAAGGGGTCTGCAATCACCAATATCTCACAGGCACTGTGAATCGGTCAGCTATGATGGTACAAAATTTGCGCTGGTCAAACAATCAGACTAGAACTTTTTCTACCTGATGTAGATCATAGACTCATTAGTAATTATTTCTAACTTTGTTGGAGAGCGCGAATTTACGGAAGTCATTAGCACGGTGGATGCAGCCTTAGTAGTCGATCGGTAGTCACTTGCTTAGCTTCAGCTTGCGTCGACCAGAAGCACATTACTCCAGAAAAGTGTCACCAGCGGGCTGGTGGTTTGTTACCGAGCTGAAAGTGCAGGTTCAAGCGATGCTACTATTGATCAGAAGCAGAAAGTGATCAGTTGTTTTGTTTTCATTAATAAACGTGAGTACGTTTATCAGCCACTCTGCAAGTGTTACTCTTAAGCTTACGATTGCCAACACAGTAATGTGTGCAAATAGGTATCAATCTACTATGCACCAACGTGAAGAGCAACTCTGTGTTGTATTATGTGTAATACATGCTGGTTACTATTTAACTAAATAGAATCAGTCGTGAGAAAATCAAGATTAGTAAAGAGTTCCCTTAACCAATTTCGTTAGCTATACTTTTTCTTGTGAAAATTAATTTGTTTATATAGCAGCCTTAACATATAAAGTAATATTGAATGTTCCGCTTTAATAATTATCATGTATCTGTAAACAACAGATAATGTGCCTATATCCAAATTTTCAAGCTAGCTTAAAAGAGATAATGTTGGACTTACAACATTTTAGTTGGGGGATAGAATGTACGCGAACCCACTCCTTGTTTCAGTAAAGATGTTTGATCATCAGTTGTTGTCGGAAATCGGAGATCTGCGCAGCCTATGATTTTGTGAAATGCTGGTGATATGAGAGCAGCCGCTTGTGCTGCTCGACATTCATCAATGAGTCCGTTGTTGGTGTTTCTTTGGAAGCTAGTCAGCTGCTGCTTGTTTCCTTCACAAATAGACTGCAGGTATAAATGTAAAGCAGTAATATGTAAGTTCGCCACCACCGTGCATTTTAGGTAAAATGGAAAACCTTATCTATAGGAGCTATGGAACTAACCATTAATTGATCACTATAGCAGCTTAAACTGAATGCCATACAGTCGGCAACATTCCTTGTAATGTTTACTATTCTAGGCAAAACTGACCACAGTGTTTTATTATTTTGCGTCATTTTGATTTTGTCGAACCAACGTGTTTGAAACTGAGAATCTATGGGCAACTTAGAAATTGCAGCGCACAAAACTGTGGTTGCAATTATTTTTAGGACATAACCTATGTTTAACCCTAGTGCAGTTGTTTAGCTCGCAGTTGGGCTACATAAACTGGTGGACGTGCACGTTTTGCAAAGTGCTCCTACCCGGAGTCTTTATACCTTGCCAAAAGCACCATGATTATTAATGAATTATCTACAGCTGATCTCAATTAAGGCCCAGTTACCCGAGCGGATTTCAATGGCAAGTCAACATTAAACCCGCGTTTTGATTCGCTCAAATTCTGGTGTCAATACCCACCTGAAATAACCACACGTAAAACGAGATTGCCCTAGGCAGATTTGCTTTCAGTAAGTGAGCGTCAGCACTTGAATCTGTTCTGTCCATGTGTTTCAGATAAATCCGGCCAGCCAACTCGAGAGCCAAAAAGGAACTGTAAATCCTGTGTCCGTTTAGAAATGAAAGTTGTTCATCCTGCAGCGAATAGCAAAATTGCAGCACCGCGATAAAAGTAGCCAATAATTCGAAGATATCATTTGTACGGACGGTTTATGAAGCCTTGCAAAATATTTGTAACTGTGCGTTGTATTTCCCGACGATGTATATCACTGAGTTATACGCATAAGGTTAAAGCTTTAGATGAAGCAATATATTCTGAAACATTAAGATGAACAAACTTAATTATTAACAAAAGTTGTTGCTTTTTACATCACCAGGGAATACGCTTCAAGTTGTCTTATTTGGCTGAGTGCATAACCAGTCGGTCCACTACTCTTAGTCTGTAAGTTAGGAAAATATCCTCTCCTAAGGTAGTTACCGCTACGGCAGGTAGTACAGCGCCTACGGAACTAGTGCATGTAATGGAGTTACGAATTTCCATTTTTGTGAGACTTTTGCCTCGCTCCATTATCTCATCAATGTAATTCACAAACATTTATCCAACCCTTCTTGCTATATTAACCCAAATATTGTGTTCGAAATGATTAGGAATATTGGTAGCACTGGAGGCATGCTCAGTTGTTATGAAATTCTCCGAGCTGGGCATCTTGATTGCAAACGTTTTGCCACCATTCGAGGTGTCACCTTCAGTGCGGGATTGATAGCAGTTAAGCAGCAGTAGCTGGTAGCAAGCAAACACAATAATGGATACTGTCAGCAACCACTCCGTTCCTTATATAGGCATAAGGGGCTATTAATATTGCTCGTTCTCATTGGTGCATCATTGTGTTCAGCGGTCGTGCTCAAGTCATGGTCATTGGCTGCGGAAATGTTGTTGCGACGTGGTTGAGCTTATCGCACTCTGATTGGTGCAACGCGTGTGGGTGAGCAGTCGGGGCTCACATTGACCATGCTGTTCATTGTCCGTGTATTGGATTAGGTTCTTTCGGACAACGGTAATTGATCCTCTTGAGCTCTCTCTGTCTCAGCGGTTGGTATACTGGATGGATGTCGATATGCATGTTGATTGAGTTCGTGTTTGATAAGCCGGCTTTGAGAAACTTCCTCCATTTTGTGTTTCTCCTTCGGTCAAGATCTCTACCTTGTTCCAGTTGAAGCTGCCTTCCTCTTCATCCACGTGTGTTGAAACCAAAGAGGTTGCGTAATGGTTGCTGACAGTATCCATTATTCGGTTTGCTTTCTACCAGCTACTGCTGCTTAACTGCTATCAATCCCGCACTGAAGGTGACACCTCGAATGGTGGTGAATCTTTCGCAATCCCATGAAATCATGAAGCTTGGCAACTTAGCATTTTTCGCTGGCATTTAAAAATGCCGCGTTTTGTGACACCGTTAGCTTTTTACATGTTTACTCTGAATGTGTTGAAATTTGTTATTACTCTTTTGTGTTGGAAGTGGTTTGTGGTTTGTAACTGTGATACTGCTAATTTTTTGCAAATAATGTCGTTATCCACTTCCGACTCGCTGTTTTGAATTCGGCGGAAACTCGGTGCTTAACTCCTCCAAACGCTTTGCCGCCTTCATGTTATCTGTTAAACTATTGAAAATTACTTACAGTGGTAAGCGCACTGTCTGCGTCTCCGACCGGATATAATAGTGTCAGTGATTTATTATGTGAATTCCGCAACTAAAATGTCTTTCCATACATACTTCATTGGCATATGTTTATGGTTTAATACACCTTCTTTGTAAAAGCAAAAATATATTGTCGTTTTTTCTTCCATGGAGCCATTCTACATACATCTGAATAATTAAGCTTAAATGTTGGAGCAGGCGCACAATTCAGTGCGTATTGGAACTGCCCAAAATTGCCGCTAACTTTATTAGTGCTGGTATAAATGTATGTTGAGGCAACCTTAGTTACCTATTGTACATCAAGAAACAAATTCTTAATTAAACACGATGGCCAATTGGTTCAGTTAGTTTTACATTTCAACCTCCGTTTCACTTTATTCACACTAATAATGGAGAATCGAGTCAAATGCCGTGGGCAGTTAGCAGCATTTCAATTCTTAGTTATAACATAGAAACATTCACACTAACTTGAGACTTTTCTCCTTTATCATCAAAACTTTACTGACCAGCAGTCAAAAATTAAGATATTACAAGTTGTCCTTAGTTTTCAGGTGATCCTTAGAAACTAAAAACACATAAAACGGAGTTATTAGCTGCCAAGTCGTAATGTCAGTCAGTAATTTCCTGAGCATTGGAATCCTTCATTTAGTCACACCGCGGACGTCCAAATGCTAACATAAGTACAATAATAAGAGTAAAAGGCTATATATATATATATATGGATCACCATTTAGAAATTTAAGGATAGTTTACTAAGGAAACAGTGCATGGCGAAATCGGAATGTTTGACGTTTTCAAGCTTCACCTTAAGCTGAACATTAAAATGCAGCACAATATCCAAAACGCGATGAGAAGACGGTCATCATGTCATTACTAGTAAAGTACTCAAGTTTTGACAAGAGTGTTCTGGGCGATTGAACCAACAGCCAAGTTTTGGGAATTCTGTGAAATTTCGAAAAAATGATTACTTCATTCAGTGATTGTTACCTCGGCCTAATACTTAAACAAATTAAGATAAACCGTTTTGTTAGCGGCATATGTTTGTTAGTTGGTTATATTTATAACTAGGTTTGAGTATAACATTTCCACACGTGGTGCACAATAGCACACACTGTAGAAGACATTTGTATTGAATTTTCTACGAACCAGTACCTCAAAAATGCGTCAATGAATTTTATTACTCAAGCAAAGAAATAACTACGCAAGTGGAACGTTACTTTTCCCGTGTTTTATACACCTTGAGTAGGCCTTGAATAAAGTAAATGCTTTCACTCTCCACCAAATAGTCTACAGTTGAGTGCTTACTCAAATAATATATAGAGCAGTAATAAAGTTGTCTGCGGATTTGCACTTGGTGTAACCCACAAAATGTTTGGTTGCTCAATATGAAACGGTTTTCCTTCAATGCAACTAATAAAATGACGTTGCACTGAGACCCATTTGCAAGAGAGAAATGGCTATAGCCTGTTGCTCAGGTGTCCCTTTTGTAGCGCAAAATACAAAAATTCCGAGCGTCCTTTCTTTATTATAATATTTACTGCGAAACACAAACCTTTGAATGGCTGAATACAAGCGTCTGTGTCACCTCGTTTCCTGCCGTCCTGCATATTTTTGGTTTCAGGATGCTATTCATTATTTTACAGTAGTACATAAATTATCTGAAAAGAATTTACAGTCGTTGTTAATCCGGGTCAGCTAATACATGGAAACGCATTGTTGAAAATTATATTTTGCTCAAATTTACATCTGTAGGAATATACTGCACACAATTTACGGAATGTGTGCTTGCGTACTTTAGCCACGTACGCTTCACTGAACCGAATGTTAATAAAAGAGTACTCTCCTAGCGCGTGCAAATCATGTGTGGACGACAAAGAACAAAGAAATGAAATACAGCCGCTATGAAACGCACCTAACCTTCAGCACGGTTCGTTTTACGATGTTTTGATGGAATACTACTTCCTACATTGTGCAGACATGAAATAGTCACTCTGATTTACAAGCAGGCAGTTGTGCGGAGCCCACAAACTACAGCGCCACAATTCATGTTCCAAAACTAAACAACTTATGTAAATTATGAATGTATATGCACTGCTGACGTAGCCAAATAGCGACGACCTCATATTGTCGTACCAACACACATTCCGCCTTGGTTGGCTATACACTACAAAATTGCTGCTATCCCGATTCGATAGCAGATTACGAATCAAGTTCGCCTAGACCACTGCGTTTTTCTTCACAATCCTCGGAGCCATGGAATTAGTGACCCATTGCTAGGTTGAATAAGCAAGTTCCTCATTCAACGTCAGATGAGTGTACGAATGCGCAAAGTCTTTCCCCGACCAAATACTGTTTTTCTAGTGTACCACCTGAATTGGTACAGCGACGAATTTTAATTCTAGCCTTCATAACAGATCACGCCAGCGTAGTTCATTCGAATGTCCTACTTATGCAGGTGGTATCAAGAGCTGCCATGACGTTAAGACTGAAGGATAAAAAAACAATAAAAGCACGCTCGACTGGGCCTGTACTTGCTCATGCGAAACTTGCTCCAGTTTTGCGTGGTTCAAGGTAATGTTTAATACGTGCGCTATCAGCATGCCCATGAACATAGACTTGAAAACAATCAATTACAACGCTTCTCCTGAAATTTGACCTGCAAGTAAATCTACATGATGATCCTGGATGCTTTCCTTTGACCAGCAGTGCATGAAGGAAAGCCAATGGACACCCTGGCCATTTACAGAAATCATGCATAAAATTGTAACCATCAATCTTTCCGTAAATGCAAAATATCTGCGCGTGGCCTCAGATAGAATATATTATCTAATTTTGACGCCCCTGGCAATAGCGTGATGTATATGCTACTAAAACATCAAAATGAAGGGGGCCAAGGTCGTTAGTGACATCATCGTTAGTGACAAATCATTACATCGACACAATAGCCGAGTAAAAGATTTTTCGATCGGGTATCCCAAAACTGAAATGCTTTTATAAGTCCTGTCCATTCGCTTACACATAACCGTTTTAAAGGAGACGCTTTGAAGACAACATATCCTAGTTATATACGCATTAAAGTCATTTTTGTTTGGAAGGCAAAATATGGTGAAACAAGTCTGTGCCTAACTGTCATCCCGTAAGTTACTAATGATGAAGCCAGCTTCTTTGTTCATGTGAATAGTTAGTTGTGTCACATATAACCCGATGTTTCGCCTATTTCCTTGTTTTCCTGTCATCCTACGGACATTGTGAGAATCCTGCTGTCTATCCTTTTTAATCCATAGTTCAATTTACAAAATAATTTTCAAGTTGTCGACGAAATGTGGTTTTATTGCGGCAATGGGCCACTTTTAGGCAAGCTGTTTATTTTGGGATACGTTTTTGTTCTTGGTCGCGGTATGCACCAGTTCAGGAGATACAATTTGTCCTACTCTGCTAGGATGTGCTGATTTTACGATTGACGTTGCCTACAGTCAAACCTGGTAGTTTGATGGAAAGTGCTCTGCTTGATTTAAACAGAAAGGAAGCCAACCAGTAGCTGCCGAGGAAAGCTAGGTCGAGCCAAAAAGAGAAATTATAATAGTCCCAACTAGAGTAGATGCATAATAGCAAGGCGGATTGTTTAGAAAATCGCAACATTGTAAGCGAGTGAGATGTCAGAGTTGGATGTACTTGAAGCCATTTTTAACTAGTTGCCAATCCGTTCGCTTTCGCTATCTCGGATGTTGGCTCCTAGATATTACGTTTTTACACACAGTGCTGAGGATGAAGCGTATGACGGCGGCATAGTCAAGGCTAAGTTTACCAGTAGAACTTGTTTCAATAGATGGTTCTTTCCTGTTGTGCTTGATGGATGTGTGTTTATCGACCATGCAAACGTTTGGATCCTATCCGCTGGCCTTCCTTATTCCGCCCTTCAAGCCTTCATAGGATTTGTGTACTACGAGCTCAACTGTGTCCTGAACGAGAATGATAACTGAATTCGGTTTGCCGATCAGCAAGTTTGGTGCTGATTGACAAAAATATACCTGCGCGGACAAAGATAATCAACATCTCATTCTCCTCCACATACACTGTGATGGTGATGAATATCTGCTCAACCCTAGCCTGTCAGCCATTTGATGAATTCAGGTGTTGTAACACGATAAAAATGTTAAAATCTTGTTTACTTGTCACAAAGTAACCTGCAAGATTATTGTGGTAGTTTTAGTAACGGGATCATCAGAGCTAATATGGATGTACTGTGCGTGGTTTGATCAAAGTTTTCGTGGATAAATATAAGGTCGGCGCAGTGAAGCATGGTGGTTGTACATAAAATGTTTGCTAAATGTTTGACTACACCATGTCCTGTACACCCATATCAGCGTAGCAGCCTAGAGAAGTTAAAAATACTGTTCTCAAATTGGAGCGATATTCCATTCCAGTGAATATATAGAACTCTTTGAGGCGCAGCGCACGCCACTCGCTACTGCTCTGTTTGCGTCCTGTCATGTTGGCGGCTAACACCCGAAATACCAAGCAGGCATTGCTATAAACATTACATTCATGAGCAGGACTAATAAACGGGCTTATTTATAGAGGAACGAAAATAACATTAGATCAGTTCGTACTGCTTTAAACTACTAATATGCTGTGACAGAAAATCACGGTCGAGGGTTTGTACCGGAGAGATCCATTATTACCCAAATTATGGCTGGGTGCTTTTAACCATTGCTTTACACTACTGGTACGAATGATGAATATTGCATCTATTGGTGCTTAAATGTTCAGTATAAAACATTGTAGGGTGATTATTATCCGTAGTGTTACTCTGTCCTACGCAGTTGTCATTCTGCCACGCAAGACCACCTCGATATTCTTCAAAAATTGATGGCTGACATTTGAATTTCTAGAGTAGCAAAGGTGTTGATAATAGAGATGCTAAGAACCTAAGAAAGCTATACTACGCCTAAATGTCCTTTAACATTATAGCCAACTCAGCAGTATTCAGCTGTTAAGAAACCAAATAGTTGGGCCTCAATTCAGGACATGACATCGAATTACTCCACACCACAGCTGTGTTGTGTCATGTAAATGGTTTAAAGTGAAAAAGGAGGATTAGGTGGAATCATAGTGTGGTTAAACAAGGAGTGAACCATGAAGTGTTCGGCCTAATGCCACAAAGAAATAATGCGATTCATTTTTGCCCACCTGCGACAGATATCTTGCCAATAATTTAGATATATTAGGATTGATTCCATTGAGATCCATAGCTTTCACAGTTTCTTCTAACCATGCTAACGGTTTGGTACTTGACATTTGCCTGAAATCTGTTTATGGCAGTATATAAGCGAAGAAATTAAAAAATACCTGAGCAAGAAGTAAACTGAAGTTAACAATACAAACTGTTCTTTTTGGAGTAAAAAGGTTGCTGAACTTTATTCATGAGTTTACCATAACAGACAGATTATCAAACAAAAGGTCGAAAATTTTGTCTTGCTTGTAAACCTGAGCACCACGTTTAATGTCTTATAAATTCATAAAACTAATTAGAGCTCCTTGCCCACACGATGCAAATCCTTTGAGAGCAACTTGCCAGTTTCTGCTAATGCATTGCAGCATACTTGGGCTACATAATGCTGATCATAGTGCATTGAAATCCATATCTCAGAAAATCTACCTACTTTTTTGAACTTAACCTGCACCGGTTGTAATATTATTAGGTAAATGGTTCTGTTTCATTTTTTAGTGAAGAAAACATCATATTTATAGCTCGTTTTAAAAGTTAGCTGCAATTTTTCTGTAGTGTTATACTTACTAACAGTTTTATCTGAGAGAATTGGTTTGCAGTGTGAAGCGATCATTAGTTTTATCACACAATATGTTTGCCAATCAATACTTTCGAACGATACCAATGACAGAAGTTGCGACAAATAATCTATAGAACAAAATGACTACTGACAGGAACATTACTTATAAATATACAATGTCAGCTCAGTATAACGGACAACTTACGTTCCGTCAAAATAGCGTCTGTCATCGTTTTGCCAAAAGAGTACCACATTGGTCCAAATTTGATGTAGCTAGAAAAGGAAATTCTTTTGTTTATTAAGATAATCCTAATTTTGCAAACGCAGATAGTAGTTGATGAGCACAAAATATTCGGATTCAATAGGTTCAACTGTCAGCTAGCAGCTCCTTACCAAATCAAGGATAGATATTTTTGTAACCATTCGCTTTTACTACTTAGGTTTGTACGTGGCAGTTGACATATTTTTACATTTACTTCACTTCGTAGGTCAAGAAACGGGCATTGGTTATTGTGCTCACTTAATCGTCAGGAAGAGCGGCCGTACTTCCACATTTTGGGTACTTTGTTAAGACAGATAATTGTAAACCAAAGTCCGAATAAGGCTGTATTTAATGAACGGGATAGTTTTTCTTAATAATTTAGCATCATTTTACTTTCTGGCCTTTGCCTACTTAATTAACATCTATAGCTTACGAGATAATTGAAGCTAACATTGGCGAATGGGCTGCTTATAATTCTATGCCGAAGTAAAGTCATCTGGTGGGCAAAGGTACATTGCGGCTATTTTGCTTGACCTTGATCATTCCAAGTTAGAAAAACCAAAATAACACAATCCATTGTACATTTTGTAAGGACAAAATATATGCGGAATGTATTTATAATAATAATGCACACTCGAGAAGGATACGCATTTTAAATATCAGGTACCAGTGTATTTTATGCCTAGGCTGCTCTTTCGGACGCAGCGCTGACTCAGAATTTGTGACGGTTTTTTGTGTACGGCATCCCTATCACAGAAATGCAGGCCTGAAGTATGCATACTCTGCGAAGCAGACAACTGGTCGTGACACTGAATGAACTGATTGTATGCTGCGTCACTTATGGGCAGCTTCATTCTTCATTATTACACACAGGTAGCCGACGCAGAGCAGCTTCCATATTTCTAATAGATACGTACATTTTAAAGTCAATGACTCTGTCCTTTTTTATTATCCTGACATCGCGAAAAAGTAAAGTTGAGAAATTCATACAATGCATGTCTAGAAAACCAGTTTAAATCATGGATGCAATGTACGCATTACAAAGCTTCTGAAATCGAAGTACACGTAGATATATGAAAGGTTTCGATCAGTAAAAAAATATCATGCTAACACGCGGAAGCATGCTAAATATATTCACCTAGTCCTGGATCTTATCTAGTTTGCTCAAGTTGTGTGGCGTTTCCTAAATTGATCTAATGCTAAGGATACACTGCTCTCTGTAGTCCTACTTTCGAATTCGTATATAATACCAATGTTTTATGAAAGGTTTACATGTGCTTTACTTAAACACATATATACAAATGCAATCTTGTCTTCTACATCTGTTAAACTGTATCCTAAATTTTGTCAAACTTTCAGTCCACTATAGGAAGTAAGTTGCTGATAGAACCGCAAGGAATTACACACCTACATACTGAATTCAAAATCTATAAACGTTTAAATACAGGGTGAATTTATATCACTCTATTGTCATTATTGGTTAGATCCAATAAAACGAAAATGCAATAAAAACCGTTTCTATCTTCTTGCTAGTGTCACATAAGTAAAGTTAGCTCCCTTATTAACCAAGTGAACATTTTTACAAATACATAAATATCTAGCTTGAGGAAAGTAAGCGACTTTGATGTGTAACATAGTATCTCGCTGCATGAGGTGAGTCAATAGGTCTGGCTAGTTACAAGGTAAATTTAAACTGACTTTCACATTTTTCCTTTTAATGGTGGTTTCCTTATAGAGTAACGGCGAATTTTGCGTAACAACGTAAGGTGGCACTTGAGCCAATTTCCGACACTTGGGACAATGCATTTTTTGTTATACAAACTGCTGTTGTTAAGCTGTTGGCATGGGCATTAAATGTACTGACACATAACTACTGATTCACCGATAATGCAGCTGCATTCGCGAATAATTGAGGGAGATAACGATTGGTGCATCGACTCGTATTTTCCAGTCTTCTATTGATTAGTCCAATAAGTTGGGTTCTCCATAACATTGGTTGTATGCACTAATGCAACAAATTTCACTCTGCTAAATGTACTGAGCCGCATTAAATAACGTAGGTGGATAAACATTGTATATTTACTATATAATTATGCCTTGCTTATAAGTACCGAGGAAGTTAAAAGTAAGACAAGAATTGAAATATATTTGGACACGTTTTGGTGAGAAGTATAAAACCAGAAAATTTTATTTCCTCACTTTTGACCGTTTTTACTTACAAGTTGTGCTTTAATAAACGCTTGGCTCTGTTGCCTTGGTCAATATGTAATGAAACCCATGAAACTGGGGGACTTTAGTTTTATTTGGGAGTTGTCGCACTTTGGAATGCACAGAATATCGTTCTGTGAAGTGTGCGAAGCTTATTAATATCATTGGAACAGGCTGGACCCCGCGAACTATATTATCTAAAAGCATTGTCCATAAACATACGGTTCTGCCGAAGCTAAAAATATCCTTGTTGTACCTCACCTTGGAACCCCAGAATCTGTAGCAAAATATGGCCACTGAGTTAATAAAACTGATACATCTGAAAAAGAACAAACAAAAAGTACAGGTGGAAAATTTAGTTACTTTTTAGTGGCTGTTGTTGCGCTTCATCGGTAAGTCGACATTTTAATACCAACAAATATTTGATTGAGAAATAATTCCCGGAGATAACGTCAGAAACAGAATGTAGCGAACAAGCTTGTTTTCAGGGCTTCATCATCAGGCTAATACAACCACAATAAAGCAAGTTAGATTAGACACAATGAGTTTAAATTGAGCCCCTGATGCAGAGTAACTGATCGATAAGTTTACGTTTTTGGTCTGATTGAGGCGTGGTCAAACGAAGTAGCATGAGTGCCATTGTTCGTCGCGTTGATCTGAGGCCAAGGCAAGGTTAAAGTATGGACGAGATTTTTCTGTGCACATATATATTTACATATAAATATTTGATTACTTGTTTAATAAAACTACATTTGAAGAACTTTGTTAGATTGCAGTTTTTTAAAGAAGCCACCAGTTTTGCTTTTACTTGGTTAAGGGAATTTAATGGCAACGATATCAGGGAATACTTTTAGAATCGAGCAAGCAGCGATCTTAGTAGAGTGGTATGTAAGTAAAGATTTAATAAATATGTTGCGTGTAACAATTTGACTTCGACATACAACCATTTTCAAAACAAAATATTTGTCGTCTTTTAACCATTGCAAAATATTTCATCGTTTCCTCCATCAAGAGTTTTGTAGATACCTATGTTGTTTTTAGTATTATAGGCCCGAGAAGGATATGTATGTGCAATTGTAGTAATTTTTATAGTGTTGCATCCGAAGTGAATCATACATCTTTTGGCCAAAGCGCTGAAAAAGTAAAATCGTCAGAACTTCCATTTCCATTGAACCTACGTATGTGATTTTGACGGCCTCTGCCGCCAAGTATGTTAACCACTGGCCTTAGAGTGTGATAAGAACACAAGAAGCGCTATGCGTTCATTACAAATTAATCTAAAAGCAAATACGCCGTAAGACAAAGAGTGTTCTTGTGAATCCGTCGAACAAACATTTGGTCGTCATACAAATAAGTATTTTGATCGGCTCTTAACAAGCATTAAATAATACGAAAATACAGAACTTTCCATTTCAGCGAATAGCGTAAACAGGCAGCTTTTGTGAGTGATCAGTACGGTAAGACAGAAATGATATTTTATAACTTTAGAATGCAGACAAAAGCGCCATGTACTTTGCTGGAAATAAAATCCGTGATTGCTACTCTAGTCACTCCGCTCCTTCCAATAATAGTATTGGAAGATATAAATATATGCAGTATTAAAGTACCGTGGATAAATTATAAAGAAGTGTACTGGGAGCGGAAATGTGCGTGCAGATCGAAACTAGAAAAAAACACGGTAATTAAATCATTTTAAATCTGTGGGCGACAACTATGATATTTTACTCAACAGCATATTTCGGTGACACATAGTAAGTTTAGGTTTTCGATTGAAATGTTGCTACGTCCTTATCAGTTAATGGTGTGGAAGAAATTTGGCCACCCATCGTGCGGAAGCAAGTAGCGTTGACAACACGCTGCCGGTTATGAGTTCATAGAAAAGTTAGTTTATCTCGACATTTATAAATTACTACGATAAGAAACTACAATGATGGTCGCAGCATAAGTTTATGTAGACCTGTCTGATGCGCAGACCATAGCTGAGTTAACAGCAATATGTATTTGAAACATCGAGTCTATCAATTAACACAGCGAGAATAAACAGCGTGTAAGAGGTTTGCCTGTTTATACGAAAACTAGAAGGAAAAACTAGAGGAAAATGTAGAGACCTTCGTTCGGTTCAGTTGAGCAAACTGGGTGACGTCATTATTTACGCTGCAAACATTTGTTTAAGCACGATTAGTGCACATTTGGTTCACTAGAAATAATCCATTTAGATGGGTAAATATTTCGGGAAATAAAGAAACAATACTGGTGTTACCCACGCTTATCTTCCATTGCCAAGGGGGGAAAGACTAGGCTAAAAACGAGCTGGTTGCCTTGAGGTGTAATAGTGCAGGTAAAAACCTTGAACTAGTTTTTCCAAAGGATCACCAAAAGCGATGTGCCTGAGATATATTTGCTATACGAATATCATCGTCCAACGGTTTTAAAGTTATAATCAAGGCTAAATGTAAAGTCTTGTATGAAACAAAAATATTATTCCCCACAAATCACTGTAATTTGCCCAACTCAACTTGTTTTAGTACAAAAACCATGGAGTTTTGCGTGCAAGTGCAATATTGTGATTTCAATGTGGTCGTGAAGGCCATCCTGTAATCGAACTTCTTTTCTTGATAATACTTCATAATATTTTTAATTTTGCCTCCATGGACAGTATCACGGAACCTGACTTCCAATAGAATTTAAATTTAATCAGTTCCGACGACAGCGTTTTGGGGGCTATGTAGACCTTTCTATTGACCACCGAGAAGTTTACTCACATCTCTGTTAGTATCTAGATTAATGAGACGAAGTTTTCGATTTCCATTATGTAAAACAGAGCAGGCGAATGAAAGTGAGTCCATTGATTGTGTTAAAAGACCGCTACAACTCGATGATAATGCAAATATTTTGTAGTTTAGTTGCGACAAAATATCTGACCTCCAGATAACAAACTGCGTTGCACGTCATTTTCCCAGAGCCTCATTGACAACACGTTTTATAGAGTATCTTGCTTTCTGTCTACATGCGACAATATACGTGTTTCAAGCATTACTTTCGAATGGTTGGAAACGTTAGGTAAAGTTGGATTACCTAGCCAAATTTAGGAGATTCAGTCTGGCAATAATATTAAAAGTGAGACAAAGGAACATATATATCTTCAACATGGTCAATTAAAATTGACATCATGAAGCGAATTAACGACGGCCAACTAATGGGCACAACCAGAAAAATAGTCGCTAATCGTCAAACAATATACCGTCAGCCTAGCTAATCTTCCCACCAAAGGGAAGACTATGAAGAACGGTGAAATTCTCCTTCAACATGTTCAAGGTGCTCAGGTAATTGTGCATAACATGTTGTTTTAAAATCCTTTCAAAAAGCAGTTGAGTGAATGAGAATGCATGTGCAGAACGCCAAAAGAAAATGAGTGAAATATTATTCTTACATATGAACTAATTGAAATGATGCCAATACCAGTAGCCACTTAGGATTCCGCTCAATAAGCATTGGGAAGTCCAAACTCTGGTAAATTGGTAATGCTGGAATGTTTCCAAGTATTTGTCGAACACATGTTAACATTTCTAGAGAGCTAGAAAGGATTCCGTTTGCTACTTGTTGAGGCTGACTGGGGCTTTGTCACCTACTAACGTAAGTAATATTCCTGTCCCTGTGAATCTACTTTCCTCTACGTGGCATGCCTGGGCGGTCCTTGATAATTAGTTGGACTTGTCAGAGTAATCCATCTTGGGAATAATTGAGTACAATCATCGTTGCGTGTCTGATTTCCATAAAATATTTGAGTTCGTTATCCAACGTCATCGATTTCCATAATTGGGATTGTTTACATGTAGCAGGGTGCTCTCCTGGTTTGTGCTGCGCAGCTACTAAACCGCAACAAAGTTACAATAAATTAAGCTAAAGTTGGCGAGTGCATTGTTGAAGAAGCGAAAGCAATTTTATCCCTTGTAGACTGCCTATCTAATTTTAGCGCGCTGTGAAACTGAATGGGTGCTTAATTCATAGTGACGGAATTAATCATTTCGTGCCTCTTAACTGCGACCTGGTAGAGCAGAAAGTCTCACCATGGAACAAGGTTTACGGAGCATATGAGTAGGGGTACAGGACTCACGTGGTTCCCGCCAGACGACAAGGGAATTAGATGCGCTTGAGTGACCAATGTAAGTGTTGTCAATAGGTACACCCTGTTTGAGTTGAACAAACCCAAGTCATTAAGGCGCCGGACGGGAAAAGAGTGAAAAACCTTTGATATAACCTTGGGAATGGAGGAAAATTCCGAACATCTGGAACAGCTGCTGTACAACCATAGAACGCTTTGCGAGCTCATTACTAATTATGTAGCCTCGACTTAAGTTATCTCGGTAGAATGGAACCAAACTGGATATTTATTAGCCGATTTCCGCGGGTTGGTCAAAAAATCGCAACACAATACTACTTAAGTGTGTAAGGTAGCAAGAACTGTATTTTAGCTTGGACAAACTACCATAATAAATGAAAGGCGCGTCTTTCAAATTGCTTGCAAGTTAAACAACGGTTTGTTGATGCAAGTTTGAATACATTTGACTATCACACTGCTGAACATGCCTGTTACAGCAGACACGAAATATATTTGTACAATTTTGAACTAACGGGCTTCACTTTATATAATTTTAAGTCACCGCTTACACATAATATATTATTTAGTTACCTTCTACCGAGTTAAGAATGTGGCATACATTATAAGGCAAATTTACGAGTTTTGACCTCCCTGCAGTTTCTATGCGATCACCATTTAGGTCCCATAATCATAGATGTATTTGTAGACGGAAAAGCCTGTTTGCTCACTTTTCCAACTGATAGATTAGTTTTATATAATAATGTGCATCAGTTATGTTCTACGGTTGGATTTAGTTATATTGGTTTTAATCAAATAAAACTTCTTAGATTGGAAGACAGACTAGTTAGTCCAAGATTGATACCTGATTGAAGATTTTCTTCCAAGCTATGAAGAGATATTTTGAGCTTTTAGCTACCTTCTAATTTTATGTGGATCGGGCGACAATTGCTCTTCTGCAGAGAAAGAGTGAGTGTTTTAAGGTTGGAAATCACTCACCAACAAAGTCGCCCAAAGCTAATGTGTGTTTTTAATTAGTTGCATTTAGCTTGATTTAAATAGATCACCTATAAACTAATACGTACATTTTGAAAGCGTTAATATCTGATTCAATATAGGAAATATTCTTATGGGTGGGGAGAAACTAAGTAGGATCTGCCGAACATCCTATGCATTTGCTAAAATTAGCTAGGGAATACTAGTTTTTGAAAGCTATGTGGAAATATTAAATAAAGTTGGTGCCACTGGTTATCTTCCGGTCATAACCAAATAGTATT